CTTGACCAATTTTGGTTACTTTTACCGGTTGAAATCTTTGAGTGTTTTTTTTAGTAGGCGTTAAACGTCACTTAATTAAGCTGTGAATTTGGTATTTTTGGAACTAACTTGATAGGATGATCATCCAAAGAAGAGTTTCGGAGATTATACTACAGTACAGTTAGGTGACATGTATTGATCAAGCGAAACCATCAACAAAGGTATCCAGAACTGAACGAATCGAGTAACAGCTGAATATGCTATGCAACGCTCAAACAGCAAACAAAATTTCTCGCAAAATGTCTAAGGCACTTTGCAGGCTGCCACTGTATGAGTCGTTCTGTAAATGGACGTTAGTGCGTCGACAATTTGAGCAGTTTATGAGCTTATTCCGGCAGTGCTAAGGTTTTTGATCACTTGCCAATTTTCGCGTGTTAAGCGTACATAAGAGCCATATTTTTTAATAAGCAAGCGTCTTAGCTAAAATATTGCATTTTTCGGTTACTACCAAGAATTCGTGCTGTAGTTTCGACCGGAATCGTAAGAAATATAGGCTGAGTCTTGACAAATACGACAGCTTATTACTGTGCTATCTTCGAATCCGGATGTTCGGTTAACACCTTGATACATTTGTAAGCAAGTGCAAGATGAAATAATGATCTGTAGGATCCTAAAGGCGTCAGGTGATAAAGCTGTTCCGCCAGATTGTAAAGGAGTTTAGTAAAGAATTACGTATCAAAAACTGACCTTTAAGAAAGGATATTGGTAACGTTGTTTATTCTTTTGTTTTTTTTTTTTTTTTCTGCTTATAACTGCCGTCTTTCTTTACCCGCATCGGAACATCACATAAGCTTTAAGAAATCTTTTTTTATTCCTATCTCTTGAGGAACGCTTAACAGCAGTAAATTTTTGAAGAGTTTTCGCTGCTGCCTTTTCAAATTACACGAAATGGAGTTCTAGGCATTGAAAAATGGATGGTGCAATTATAGCATTGCATTGGAACTTGTTACGTCCTAAGTATAGCCGGTGAAGTAACGGTTGTGATCGTGGTTAACTCACAAAAGCAAAAAAAAAAAAAAAAAAAAAGACGCTGAGAGAAGACCACTTTTTCAATGTAAAATCTCTTTCTTTTGTTGTTAGCAAAAGGTTTTTGTGTCGCATTGTGTGGCATAACTTTTTTAAGCTTGCAATGGACAAAAACTGGAACCGTGATTTTTGCGGGTGAGGGAAACCAGGTATGATGGCTGAAACAGTTAAGTTATGACAACCACGTCACTAGCGTTTTCAAAGTTTCCAAAACGTATTTGCTCAGTTCAATCTAAATATCAGTTAAGAAGTTTTTCTGGAGCGGCCTGAATAGGTATGTAATTGGTGTATCCGATGGCGATCGCGCTGATAATGTCTAATGTGTCGACGAGGTTCAGCTTGCGTCTGCTGTCATATCTGTTTCTTTTTGTTTTCTTTTTTGAACTTTGGAAGGATAATAATATCTTGTTTTATATGTGGATGTTTCTATGGTTTTTACTTTGGTACACCGTCACCGTCTATTCGCCCTCGTTAAATGAGTTGGCAGTAGGTACTTGATTCTTTATCAGTTTCAGCAGTTAAATTTTTTCTTTGTTTATTTTGTATTAAGAACTTAAAGTTTTTGGACTAAGATAAAAACTAAATGGTTCTTGGAACGAGAAGACCGAAATTAGAAAAGTGGTAATCAATTGAAGCATCTTTTAGTTTACGCGACTATGACGTGGGACTGGTTGTACAGTTAGTTTTTGGAGCCTGTTTGATGTGATTAAAATATCTGTGCTGTGAACTAATGAAACGATAAACTATTAGCTGCTTTCTATGGCATTCTTTTCGCTATTTATTTTTATGTACCACTTTTGGTATGGTGATGTTTAGTTCTGTTCACTGTTATCGTATTCTTTTGGTGGTCAGTTTCAATCACATGAAACCGTGTTTATAGTTCTGTACTTTTTTTTGAAGACCAGGTGTAAAAATTCTTTTTGAAACGTTACTTTGGGCCGGTAAGGCTTAACGCAGTGTAGTGGTGAATGGCAATTGTTAGTGTATATTAGCAGCTGCAACAGACACTGCTTTACAGGCAATGGCTAGCCTGATACGTGGATACATACATGATGCCTTTGAGTTTGTTTTTCCTGGTGAATGCTTAGAAGAGATGCTTCTGAAGTTCAACTTGTTTCATCGTAAGTTTGTTTTTTTTACTTTTTTTTTTTGAAACAGGAACGTTTTTCACAAAAAGGTTACGTAGTAGTAATTATAAATAGTTAAGACTTTTTGTGTCGTCCAAATATTTTGATATTTTCCTTTATTTCTCAGGCTTGTTCGTATAAAATTTTATGTCTTAACTGGATAAAATTTATTAGGGGTATACTGAACTTTTTATACTTCCAAGCGGCGATTATCATGAGAGAATACATTAGCACTTTTGTCAACGTACACTTTTCAGCAGTATGCGCTTCCATTGCTCTTTCTCGAGCTCTTGGATTAGGAATTACTTGTGCTTCGCTACTTCTCTTCGTGCCTCAGATCATTAAAATTCATCTTGCCAAGTCCGGTCGAGGGATATCATTGGCTTCACAACTATTTGGTCTTATGGCTTGCTTTGGGACAGTAGCCTACAGCTATGCAAAAAGCTTCGTCTTCAGGTTTCTTTTCTCTGTTAAACACAGCATTGTAATGATTTCTTCGCTATGAGTGTAACATGCATATCCTGCTGCTGAAGTATAGCCTTTTTCTTTTTCACTCATCGTGCATGTTATCTTAAAACTTAAATTTACAATGTATTAACCTTAAATCTTGAGTTAGTGCCGTATTACGTTTCACTAACGGAATTTAATTGGATATGAAAAATATTGAGAGTTTGAATTGCAGTCAGTGGGGAGATTCGTTGTTTGTGTTTATACAGATGGGGATAGTCATATCGCAAATTTTATACTTTGATTCACGTATTTTCACGATGTTACTTTTTATGGCAGCTTGTTTTTCTACATCACTGGCCGTTGTCTTGGAGTTTATTCCGCTTCCTATTCTCACATTTTTACAGGCTTCCACAATATTTGTAGTTGCCATTTCAAAAGTAGGGTAAAAAAATTTTCTTCAGTTTTTTACATCTACTATTAAACTTGAAACTCATTATATTGGGTAAATTAAGCGTTGACTTTAGTTTCAGAACAAAATTATGCGTTGAAATATTTTCTTTGAAACAGCTGTTAGATATGAGGCTATTAAACATGTATTGCATTTTTTGGTTTATCCAACTAGTAATATAATTACTCTGTGGCTTTTCAGCTCCTTCAAGTTTGGGAGTCCTACAGTAATAAAAGTACTGGCCAATTATCCATGATCTCGGTTGCCTTGCAATTCGCAGGATGCCTTGCCCGCATTTTTACGTCAGTAAAGGAAACTGGGGACTTGTTGGTTATTGTGAGTTATGTTGTTGCCAGTGTTTTGAATGGAATTATATTCTTACAATTCTTCGTATACTGGGATGCTGGTAAGAAGAAGAAGCAAGCGTAGAAGATAATGGTTTTAAACTGTTCAAGACTAGAGGAACTTGGAATATGTATCAAAGGCAGCCACTGGAAAATTATAAGAAGTTTTGAATAAATCGATATTTTGAACACGTAAGGAAAGCGTGTAGTTGCAAAAGTTAAATGCTATTTTTTCACTGTTTATCCTATTTCGTTATGAGTGCCGTGGCTTTGGCGTCATGGAATCAGTGCGTGTTATGTACTTAAACTCGTACCGATTTTTCTTGTTAGTTTTTGAAGCCGAGTTTAAAAGATCTCATTATGAAAAAACGAAACAATGATATATTTACGTATGCGCCTTTGTACCATCTGTATCGCTTTTGTTGCTGATTGTTTTTGTTATTGTTGTTGACAGAATAAATATGTTTTCTTTTGAAAGCAATTCGCCCAGAGTGCAAGTCGTTTCACCTCCCACTTTCTATTCCTCACGTGTTGTTTCAAATTTTTTGCGCCTTCTCCTTGACCAATTTAATTCTTATCATATGTTGTAGGACACCACCTTAGTTCAGTTTAGAGCCCTCTTAGAAATATCACTCAGCCAACAGTTCCCTATCATTTAGCACTAATGGTAATTCGTTTTCGAAAACCGAGGTTCAACTCTAGGATTGTTTGGACTCCCCGTTCTTAAAATAGTTATTCGGATTGTTAATTGCTTCATGGTTTTCACTTTTAGTTTATTGGCTCGTTGTGGTCTAGTTATGGGGTTTGCCTTCGAGCTTTCTGTTTTTGATATTCTGGTGGCAGCATATTGTTGAGATCTGATTTTATCCACAGAGAAGAGCTGATAATTGGAAATCAGTTTTATTTTTAAAAGCAGCAAACGTAGAAACATTATGGATAGGGAAAGATTTATAAAACGAAGGTGATTCAAGCAATTGGTACGTTTTTGGCAGCCTGACATTTCTGTTTTACCTGATGGGTGAAAGTGAAAATGAACAAAAAAAATTGGCGTAAGCGTGGGGTAGGGGCTGCAGACTAAGTAGCAAGGATATCTGAAGCCGTCTCAGATTCAACTGAAACATAGTCCCGATTTTGATTTCGTTTAAAAGGTGCTAGTGAAGTAGTCAATGTAACATTAAGATGGATTTTAGGTGTAATTAGTACTGGTACACCTAGTAAAACTAAGAGACTGCGAATGATTCTTGTGGGGCAGTTTATTCCCTATGCACTGTCATTTTAGGTACCTCCCGAAAACTACAATGGCGAGGATCTTAAAATATCTAAAGAGCATTCCATCGAGAACTGTGGAATATTTTGTAGTGTTAGGAAATGATTACAAAACTGCTATGGTGGATGCCTTTAAAGATGCTAAAAATAGACCGATAAGAACAGGAGCAATAACAGCGTTTATTGCAGGGCTCACATATGCTTACAAAACAAACCCAACTGAAGAGTAACTTTGCTAGCTATAACTTTCATGAAATTAGTTTTGAATGTATTCAAGAACTGAAAAAGTAGTTTTGGTTGTTAGCTTTAAATTAAAGTTAATGTTACTACGAACAAAAACAATCGACAAAGAATTTATTTCAGAGACATGTTGAATGAGCTCGCCCACAAACGACAGATCTTAGCAACGCTACCAAATACAATCCATAATCCACTTTCGGACCATGAATTAAGTTGGAGAACGAACTTTTTGAACCAAAACTGCGTCCAGTACATTGACTGTTTCTTCTTTTCCTTACTACTTGAAAAACCGAACGATACTAAGGTGAGTCAACGTTTCCTAATGCTTTTTAGATTTTCGAGTTACATAACTGTTACATAACTCTGGCAAGATAGTTAGACTGTCACACAAATTAAAATTCTGTGACACAGAGCCAGAACTGTAGCAATTTTGGGGCGAATCTTTTTCATTCAAGAAAATTTTGGAAATAGAAGTCTTAACTAATCGTGTTGCTTCCAAGCTCTTCGTAAGAGGCTTATTCCACCACGTTGAATAATGGAGTTATCAGCCTAAAAAAAAACGCTTGAGAGAAGCACTGGGCTTAGTTTACCGCTGTGAAAATTCTTTCGGGTATCTTTGTAACAGAAACTTTGCAGTGAAGATAAACAACAGGAAGGCCAGATTGTTGAGGATGACGCATGAAACTCTGACGTTTGGCTGCTCAGATGGTAACTCATTTGAACGCCAAATTTCCAAACCATTTTGAAATTGACAGTCAAAATTTTTGCATTTTTTCCATTGACTTTTCGGGACATGACAATAAAGCAGTGCTGTGAGACCCCCGAGAACTTGAAAGAGGTTGCAGCAGTTGTTTTCTGCAGCAAAATCATCGAGGGAAATCTACATTTTTTTCCACCTATTAGAGATGGCATCTACAGTTCAGAGGCAACCACCTTCGTCATCATGTGAAATAATCAAAACATATAGAGGTGTATTTCAAAACAGTTAGGAAAAGGATTTGTTACTTTTTTTAAAAAAGACAGGTAGCACTTTGTTAAAAGTTTCTGAGTAGATTATGTACGAACATTTCTTAACACCATGAAATGATCTCTTTGAGAATCTTTAGGTACATAAATATAAAAAAGAAATAAATAAATATATATATATATATTTATTTATTTACTTGTACGGTAGATCTACTTCCTCCTGAGTATGTTCAGCATAGTGGCACCAAAGTTTGTCTCTTCCGCTGTCCCTAAAGAGACGTTTTGAGTGGCAACTTGTCTCACTCTCCGTCACTTAGATGTGGAATGCAACACGCAAATTCATTAAGTCATATCCAAGACGCTTATCAACTGAAAGACTCCCATTCAGAACTCATGCTTCTAGTAAATTCACTAAAATTCACTAAAAATTCACTACTACGATCAAGATGAAAATCCAACATCAGTTAAAACTGGAAGCTAACTTCTTTGGCGCACCATAACGTGTCTTCAAAAAAATGTGAAATTTAGAAAGTAAGAAATGTTTTGCTTAAAGCTAAGCAGGAACTACTAGCTACTTTCGAGTCGATAATTTGACAGTGATATCTGTAAACAGTTGTTGCTTTTGATAGCTCGTTTTATCAGTTTTTAGTTTTAGGTTCGCATATATGAAAGCCAGGATAAGAATTTGAAAGATTGGTGGTTCAATGAGCTCCGCCACAATTTCATCGACATAGGGATGTTTGGGAACTGGCATCGCTTAAATAAAAGTTTTGTTAATTATGATGTTAATAAGGAAGAATTAGAGTCTCTTCCTGACAATAAAAACTAAAAGTGAAGTCTTAGCAGTTAAATTCCTACTCACAAGCAAATACTTGCGTGCAGGATATTTTTTAATCACAAGAAAAGCAAAGACATTTGTTCAGAGCTTAAGGAAAATTAGTAGCGGCATTCAATAGTTGGGTAATTGTTCACAAAAAATGATCCAGGCCACCTGAGTACTGTAGAGTAACCGTATCGTTAAGGTGAACAACAGCATCTTTGTACTGCTTTTTTTAAATAAAACGTTATTTATGAGTCTCGTCCACTCGCAACTTTCATATTTACATTTTAATACGTTTAGGAAGGGTTATCTGGCCCATGTTAAAATTTAAGTTGAAATTCAATGTTCTTACTGCAGAAAGTAAGTCATGATATTCTACATTCAAAGCTCATATGCTACAATACTGAAGTCATGGCAGAGATACAGTGGTAAATCAAGATAAAGATAGTCTTAGAATTTGAAGAAATTACTGCACCATTTGATTACCAAAACCCGTTTCATATTTCTGTAGAAGAAGATACTGCTAAAGCTAAGTTTGCACAAGCTTCCGAAGTTGGTGATCTATTCAGAGCGATCTGAGCAGCGTCTAATAATGCCGTTGTTGTCTCTGCAAAATAAAACTTTCATTCACAGCGCACACCAAATCCTGGCTAATTAAAAATTAAAAACCACTTTCTTTTATTTATTTAGCAAGCCAATACTAATTACAAGTTTTTTTCTTTACTTTTTTTTACAAAGACTGATATATTAACCCTTACCCTCATTCACCGATGTGGTGATAATCCTGGGTAGGAAGCTGAGGGCTGTCCTGCTAACGTATATCCTTTCATGCAGGAGCGCTATTATCAACGAACTCTTGAAATGTTCAAGCATCTATAAAACACAGACATCTAACTGCAGCAACCCCCCTGTCTCAGTAAAAAAACCGAAACAAAACTTTACACTAGGGACCGCCGTTATCAAATTGATAGCACATTCATATGCCAATTTTCTCGCACTTGCTGGCTCCTCATAAAACGCGTATTGTATATAAGGAAGATACGGACCAAGACTTTTCGGTTTTGCCACCGTACTCTGCAGCAGCTCTTCAAACAGCGCTGTCTTATCTGACCAAGAACTGCACCTGCTAAACTTCAGCAGAAGATCGGCTTTCATCCTACACAGAAAATCCTGTACATAGACTGTAATCAAGCAAAAGAACGACCTACTTCCAAAGCTTAAAACACTTAAAAACTGTTAAAGGCGGCTTCCCCCCCCCC